GAAAGAAAACTAAGCAGAGATCCTCTTGTCGGTTCTCTGAAAAATCCAAACAATGCCATCTATAGCGATCTGACAAACTCCATTAATGTTATCCCATGGAATGAAGATGATGTTACTAGTCAAATACAACCATCATAGCCATCGAGTAGTGATGGCCTCAACATTCAATTTGGAAGATTAACAAGAGGCGAACAGCGAAGGAGTAATACTCGCCCTTAACTGGGAAGAAAAGAACCAAACCAACTCAGCCCTCCGATAATAAGAGGTTAAGAGATACATAAGCAACTACTATAATAAACACATTCAGGAGAAGACCTCACCTCTAGGGACCTTGTAATTAAGAAGGTCAATCCGGCTATGTGTGGATAGACGATCGACAAGTTTGACTAGACTTTCATCAACCCATTCATCATCAATCAAAGATTCTTCCCTTAATCTCACAAGCTCAAAATATACACTAGGAAAGGAGTCCCCCAGACGTGGAGCCGAGACAATCTAAACAAATTTGTTCTTTAGAAAAAAAAATATTATACCAACACCCAAAAATTATTGGAAGATTTTTTTCAAATTGCAAATTTTTACGTAATAAATATTAAAAAAATGATTTGGCTGACTATATGCATAATCTCAAGTTCAAATTACTCTCGAGGAACTCGAGGAGTTCATGCGCTTCTATGTCTAGCCAACATTTGGGGAACTTGAAACTGGGCATTGAATTCAATAACGATGCGAAGATGTGTGATCCAAAAAATATTCAAAACACTCGCTTGCAATGCTCACACATCATAAATCTGTCTCCAAACTTGAGTTGGAAGTCATTATGAAGATGGCTCTCTACCCAGCAATGAAAAAATCCTTAAGGGATACCTAACAAATCACATAATAATTGAGTCTAGATGATAACCCTACAAAAACAGTGACTAGATCCACTTAATAAGCTTAATACAGGGGGTAATTCACCTAAGACAAATATCCAGCGATCAAGTTTTAGGAAGTGAAAGACATGATTTGGGCATCAACTACAAAAATTAACAATAATGAAAGTTGTAAGATCTATAAAAAATGCTTAAAATGACTGACAACAATGCAAGACATTCGATCAGCATTTAATGCCAAAAAATTTGACCCCTGAATGCCCAAGCATAAAAAAACACGTCTCTAAACTAAAACCAAGTAAGAATCTGGAAATGGTTTTTTTCCCAACAACAAAAAGCTCCACGAAGTGCGTTGAGTAAAGCACTCTGGAAGCAAGTCTCAATGGTAATGGACATGGCAATTCGACCTAGCAAATGAGATGGTAAGAATTAACCCGGGCGACAAACACATCAAAATTGACAAAAAAAACACTCTCTTATAGGACAAGCAATCAATCGTCACTACACACTACAAATAATAAATGTTAAAGTACCATAAAGTTAAAAATGAGATTCACATCTTTAAATAAAGTAGATCAATAAAATCCAGATTGCAAAATCTTAAAAGCAGTTCTTTCAACTCCAAAATATCCCCCAAATTTTGAATCGTGATATTTCTAAATAATTTCAAGGGTTTCTTCTATAGGTACACATCTTCAATCACTTGATCATTTTATTTTCTATAAAGATATGGTCATCTTAAAAGTAATATCTGGCGTCATGGATAAATTTTTTCGTTGAAGGAATGTCAGGTCATAGGACATAATATCATTAACTATAAAATTTATTATGTCAATATACCACGAAATGTGTCATTAGTAATAGCAAATAGTTGCTCATCAGGGAAATTCTCATCGATCTCTTTTTCATAATTACATAAATTCCCCTTGATCAAATATCGATAAATGGTCTGCAATTTGATTATCAAAACTCTTCCTATATACAACTTTGATATCAAATTCTTGCATCAAAAGGATCCAACTAATCAATTTTTGTTTGGGCATCCTTTTTTACATAAGATATCTAATTGCAGAATGGTCTGTACGAACTATATATTTGGATCCAATAAAATATGACATAAATTTATCAAAAACATATACTATAGCAAAAAGCTTTTTCTCAGTAGTGGTGCAATTAGATATCATTAACGACAACATCAACACCAACCAAAAGTTGCAAAAGACTATAAAAAAATTTCAAGAGGAAACAACGAGCTGACCTCATATAATAATTCTGATTAGCCAAGAGTGAGATCATTAAACCAACAAGGAGAAACAACAAAGAAAACAACACAACAATAACCAAAAAAAAAAAAAAACTAAATATAAGAAAAAAAACCACAAAAACCATAACATCACACCAACACGATCGAAAAATAAAGAAAAGACAATAATATGAGACTACAAAACTAAGCTCAAAACTTACACCTGCATGAAAACATTAAAATCCCATCCAAATTTTTGAATATATGAAAATAAAAAAAAAAGATTTATATATTCAAAGATGATTGAATTTTAATCACACTTGACATTCATCAAGGATTATAACCAAACTCAACTATAAGAAAAAATCAAAAATAAAATAGAATATTAACAAAATTAACCACCAATAGTCCAAAATAGCCAACATCGAAAGCACCAACAACAACATCACAACAAAAAAAGTCTAACCAAGGAAACAAGAACCTTACAACAACATCAATTAAAAAAAAAAGCCTACAATAACACCAACAACATCAACAACTGCAACCACATAAAATATGCATAGAGAAAAGAGAGAACACACCAAGCCTAACAAAGGGAAACAACCAAAACAACTGCACAACGAAAACTTACCAATAGAGAATGAAAAGATAATAATCACTTAAAGACTCGATTAATAAAATACAATGATGAATAAAAGAAACAACCAACACCATTCAACAAAACATAATACGTATTAAACATGTAGAAATGCTTTAAAATTATATCCAAGAATTTAAATAAATAAGAATAAAAGAGATTTTAATTATTCAAAATGGGTGGATCTTAAAACTATAAGACAACAACAAAACATAACAAATCATAACAATAAAAAACAAAGAAATCATTTCTAACTTGCTAAAAATAGTTTAATAAAAAATCGGTAAACTTACATGTTAAAATAAAAATCAAACACAAAAGCAATAAGTTCCATCAAGTTTATGAATGTATTAAAATTAAAAAATAGTTGAATTTTATTTAAAGGGATGAAAAATAATAAAGTTAAATCCAATCACATAACAAATAAAGAAACTAGATATAAAAACACACACACTAAATCGAAAATAAAAACCATGAAAATCAATAATAAAATCATGAAAATTTCTCTTGAATTTTCATTTTTGCTTTTATAAAAAATCATCCAATGAATCTTACAAATAATCAAATCCAAAGAAATGAGCTTATTCTTACAGATTTTATGGTTCTCTCAAACCAAATGTAATAAGAAGTAACTTATAAAGCAAGAATATGAAATATTTTCTGAATTTAATAAGAAATGTTGTCAGAACAATAAAGAACTTGTGCAATAAGAAAATCACAATTACAAATGCATTATTAAGAAGATGATGAGAGAAAGAACATTCAAAAAGAGATGCTAATAAATTTCAATGTTATTACAACACAAAACACATATTATTAACTTTAATACCTCTTAATGAAAGAATATCACAAGTTTTCAAATCCTTATGCATGATCTTTCAACGATGACAAGCAAATTTAATAGAAAAGCCTTTAAACCAAATAAGTTTATATTAAGCAACACAAAAAAAAATATAAAAAGAAAGAAATAAACAAGCATAGGTAATTATTAGTATTGCTCCAAAAATAAGAAAAATCATGAGATATGAGAATATTACTAATAATTTTGATTCCAAAATCAGAAGATTTAACAAGATTTGATAAATTCCAAAAATTAAAACACATGACCTCACAAATTTTTTCATTAGAAGGAAGATTGAACCAAGAGAAAATGATACCACCTAAATGCTTTATTAAAGACAAATCATTAAACCAATGATCAAAAAATGACTATTATCAATAATTTTAAAAGTTAAAGAGGGTCTTGTCCTTTTAACAATGTTAACTAAATCTTTCCAAAAAAGAGAGAACTTTTTATGAGAACTGTACCATAGCGAATCATAATGATTAAAATAAAATTTGGATGCAACGTGAATTATAATTACTAAAATTTTAAATTATTTAAGATTTACAAATAATAATTATGGTATCTAAGGAAGGAAGCTCATCAAAACCACCACAATGCTTTGGCCTAGTAACTTTACCCCACACAATAGTATAAGTTTTTTTTCCAATTATCATTATTATAAAGGAAATTAGAGATCACGAAAGAATTTTTTTCCTCAATCAATTAGGTAAAACAATAGAATAAAACTAGTAATAAAGATAACTCCAAATATTGGATTTAATAAGTTGAAGCTTACTAAAAGCAAATATATTGTTTTACTTCCAACCCGTCAACTAATGATTGATTTTATCAATAAGCAAGCGACAATCAGAATTAACAAGTTTGAAAGGTCTGATAGTGATACCTGAATAATTCCAGGAAAATGATTTAAAAGCAAAATCATAAAAAGATGAGAATTTTTTTTTTTAAAGTAGACGCATTCACAGATTTAGAAAAAAACAATAGCACATTTGTAGACATTAATATAAAGATTGTAAGATTTACCAAAGGTATCAAAATCTTGTTAAAAAAGTAATATAATGAATATGTGCTATACCTAGTACGAACTCTTTAATGTATGAGAAAAAATATAATATCATTGTTTTGTACAACTTTTCCTATAAATAAGAGAATTATCTTATGAATAAGACACAACTAATTATTTACTATTTATCCCTATAAATAAGAGAATTATCTTATGAATAAGACACGATTAATTATTTACTATTTATCTTTTTTTTTTTTTTACTTGTGCTCTATTTTATGAATATGTTTCATAGATAAATTATAATTCTATAATATAATATATATTTGATTAACCGGGCGCTTATTTCATAAAAACTCAAGTATGAGCGTAAAAAAGATAAAAGGAATCATGTATTCATGCGTCCCTCCCCTCTTCCCGGAGTTTAAGCAAACAAAAATTACTGGCGTTCTTCGCTTCGCTCAAGGATTTCCAAACCCTTCGATCCCTCTCGCCCTCTGCCGATGCCATCTTCTCCTCGCGCTGCATCGATTCATCCGGCGAAAAGGCGGCGGGAGGTACTGTACCGATCGAGGGCCCGGAAGAAGCATAAGCGGCTCGATGCCATCCGCGACTCACCCACCGCCTCCTATATCGTCCATCGCAAGCCCGCCGACGATGAAGACACCATCCTCCGTCGCAGTTCCCGCGTGCGTCGCGCTCCTGTTCTGCTGGACTCGTCTCCCGTCCCCTCAACGCGTAGGAAGAGGCTTATGGATCTCGATACTACCAACGGTGGTGGTGAGATGAAGAAAGGAAAGTGGAAGGGGAAATTAGAGCCTGTTTCCCAGTTGGCTACTTCGCTGGTGGAAGAAGAGAGCTGGAAGTCAAGGTTGCGGGATAGGGTTGGGAAGGGAAGGGAAAAGTCGTTATCTTTGTTGAGTAAGTCTGCAGTGCCATTGGTGGTAGAGGATGATGCTGCAGCGCATAGTTCGGTCAGGAGAAGTTGGAGACGGAAAAAAGGTTCTACTCATGACGTATCAGCAGCTGTTAACCAAGCTGGTAACAAAGATGAGACCTTGCCGCTGTTGTACGAAGGCTACGCTAGTAGCCCACCTACAGAGAGAACTTCTCCGGTAGATGTTGTTGGAGTGACTGTGGATGCTCAGCTTGGCATTGAGCAAGCGAAGATATTGGAGAGTGCTGAAAGAGCTGTAGGGCTTGTTGAAGATGCTGAATGTGTAAACTCAAATGTCCATGACGGAGGACCTCATTATGCAGATGTGGTGGAGGATACTCTTCCTCGACAATCCTGGGAAACAGAGGAGCATGTTTCCGAAGATCATGAACCTATTCAACATGACAAGCATCACGAGTGTTTTGATACTGTGGAGAGAGAGGGTGTTTTGAAGGATAACATCCAGGAAAGTGAGCATTTTGTGAAGGATAATGATCAAAGAGTTTCTTTGTCAGATGAGAAGATTGCAGGCTTCAGAATAAAAGAAGGAAGGAGGTGTGGTTTGTGCGGGTGTGGGAGTGATGGGAAGCCTCCAAAAAAGCTGGCCCAGGAATCTTTTGATAGTGAAAATGAGGCCTATGAAGGATCTACAGCTTCAGAGGAACCTAATTACAATGTCTGGGATGGATTTGGAGATGAACTAGGATGGCTTGGCAAGCTTTTGGGCCCTATTGTTGATCGTTTTGGCATTGCTCGTGTTTGGGTTCACCTACATTGTGCTGTTTGGAGTCCAGAGGTATGTGCTGCGCCATTATATGAGACTGTCGTTCTTCAATTAATGCAGATATCATGCGGTTTATATTCACCTACAATGATCATTTACAATGTTTTGGTATTCATATAATTTAAATTACATGATTTATTTTCTTATATGTTTGCAGATTTGATTCATATTTGGTATAGGCATTGTCTTGATGCAAAATTTTCCAATTTTTTGGATTAATTGATAGAACATAAATTAGTGAAAAGGAGATCATCAATCTTTTGGATGCTTCAATTAGTCTTAGTTATAGTTCTAATTAGTGGGAAGATAGTCCGGAAATGACTTTTGAAGGTGCATTGTTTATGTAATTACAGTATTAATGTGAGAACATAAATTAGTGAAAAGGAGATCATCAATCTTTCGGATGCTTCAATTAGTCTTAGTTATAGTTCTACTTAGTGGGAAGATAGTCCGGAAATGACTTTTGAAAGTGCATTGTTTATGTAATTACAGTATTAATGTGAACCAAGAATAATCAGCCTTGTTTTCTATGTGCCGCTCATACCCTTTAATCACTTGGGACATTTTTGACTTACCTATACAATGTATATTTCAAGTTGTACTGGTAAAAAGCCTTCACGAGGTTGAACCTCGAGTTTGATGGTCATTTGTATTTACTGTTAGCAGATCTATTTCCATCTTTTTTTTATGTTTTTAGCCGTTGTAGCGTATAGATGCTGATGTATACCGAGTTTCAATTTTGGTAACGTTGCTTCATGTTTTAACTGGTTTAAAATGAGTACATAATTTGACTTTCATTTCATACAAAAACTTCAGCATTTCCTTATATTTTTGTTGGTTATTTATTTAGCATCCATTGCGTAAAATTTTCTTTTTCACCGTTTTTTTTTTTTTTTACTTAGTATCTGCCTTTGTGCTCATTTTCGCATTTGTAAGCTTTTGTCTTAGGTTTCTTCTCAATTGTTGTCATGATTCTGAACTGATTTTTCTTTATTTTGCATTTAAGATCTTTGAAGAGCATTTTTTTTTTGTGCTACAGTTGAGTAAGTAATGTATTTTACTCATCTTAATTCATTTAAGGTCTACTTTGCTGGGCTGGGATGCTTGAAGAATGTTAGAGCAGCGCTATGCAGGGGCAGGGCATTAAAATGTAGTCGTTGTAAGCCCGGGAGCCACCATTGGCTGCCGTGTTGATCGGTGCCCCAAAACCTACCACTTGGTTGTTCTCAATTTCTATATGTGGTTGATTGACATTTTCTTTCCAGCATCTTTTATGTACTAATTTTTTTTTTAATTGCAGCCTTGCAGCCGTGTAGAGGGTTGCATATTTGATCATCGTAAATTTCTCATAGCATGCAGCGATCATCGCCGTTTCTTCCAGCCACATGGAAATAAACATTCACTTCAAATAAGAAAAATGAAAGATAAAAAAAATAGGTTGGATCTCCGAAAAGCCGCAAATGAAGCCCGGAGAAAGGATTTAGAGGCCGAAGAGAAGTGGTTAGAACATTGCGGAGAGGACGAAGAGTTCCTAAAAAGGGAAGGCAAAAGACTTCACCGAGACATCTTAAGAATTGCACCAATCTACATTGGCGGTTCTTCTGAAAATGAAAATCTTTTCCAGGGTTGGGAATCTGTGGCAGGTCTAGAAAATGTCATTCAATGCATGAAGGAAGTAGTTCTGTTACCTCTTTTATATCCAGAGTTCTTTGCTAATCTGGGTATGAACCCTCCAAGAGGAGTTCTTCTTCATGGCTATCCCGGTACTGGGAAGACTCATGTTGTTCGAGCTTTAATTGGTGCCTGCTCTCGTGGTGATAAAAGAATAGCATATTTTTCACGCAAAGGTGCTGATTGTTTGGGAAAGTATGTGGGTGATGCTGAGCGTCAATTAAGGTTACTTTTCCAGGTAGCGGAGCGGTCTCAGCCATCTATAATATTTTTTGATGAGATTGATGGTTTAGCTCCACGTCGATCGAAGCAGCAGGATCAGACACATAGTTCTGTTGTGTCCACACTGCTTTCGTTGCTTGATGGCTTGAAATCTCGTGGCTCAGTTATCGTAATAGGTGCTACAAATCGTCCTGATGCTGTTGATCCTGCACTAAGGAGACCTGGGAGATTTGACCGTGAGATATATTTTCCTCTGCCTTCAGAGAAGGATAGATCTTCTATTCTCGCTCTTCATACTCGAAATTGGCCAAAACCTTTGTCTGGATCTCTACTATCATGGATTGCAAATCAAACTGTTGGTTATGCTGGTGCTGACATACAAGCTCTTTGTACTCAAGCTGTCATGCATGCTTTAAAAAGGAATTGTGGTTTGCAACAAATTCTCTCTTCTGCTGCTCGGGGTTCAATTCAAGGGAAGCTTCCTTGTCTACCATTGTTTAAGGTGGAGGAAAGGGACTGGTTGGCAGCTCTCACATTGGCACCTCCTCCATGTTCTCGAAGGGAAGCAGGAATAGCTGTAAATGATATAGTTGCATCGCCTCTTCCTGTCCATCTGATCTCATGTCTTTTACTGCCACTAGCACATTTACTTGTCTATCTTTATATTGATGAACAAATATGGCTACCTCCTATGATTTTTAAGGCGTTAAAGTCCATTAAAAATGCCATAGTTTTGGCTTTGGAGCAAAAGTGTGTGCCCGTGGCATTTTGGTGGTCACACCTCGATTATTTGATTCAGGAGCCTTTTATTGCTGAAAAATTTGAAACTAAACTTGCTCAGTATGGTCTTGTAATGGGTTCATCAGGATTCAATAATCCTGTTCTATTGGAAGAGGTGGATGATGAATCTGTTGAAAATGAGAGTTTTGATTCCTCTGGAATGAAAACTTTTGGTTCTTATGTGGATGAGAAGTTAATGCAAAAGAGTTTCCCTCGGGTTGGAAAATCCCAAGGATTTCGGACTCTGATATTCGGGCCTCCAAGGTCTGGCCAACAACATCTCGCTAGTTGTATTCTCCAAGGATTCACTGGGCATGTAGAAATTCGGAAGGTTACTTTGGCTACCATCTCACAAGAGGGGCATGGCGATATGATTCATGGACTAACACAAATTCTATGTATGTTTCTCTATGAATTTTCCATTTATGTGCATCTTAATGATATATTCACTTATTTAATGTTATGCCCTTTTATTGACTGAGCAGTAGTTTGTGCTTTTTGTTGTGTTGGAAGATGTCAAGCCCTTTGTTTAATTTTAACTGATATAATGAAGATAAAATTCAACTTTTCGGTTACGATGTCTCTTGCTGGTAAATTTTGGAAATTATAAATGGCTAAATGCTATTTCAAAATGATTTGTAATGAGATTTATTCCTTTTATATTTTTAGATTAAACTGTCCCGTTTAAGTTATTTAATGGTCATAAGGATAAGAAATATCATAAAGCCATTTGTTCAGCCTAGATATCCAGTTGTTTTGTAATAGCTAGTGGATTTTGTTAATTGTTGATAATGGCACTTGCCTTGGGCTGTTAACATGCCAGTTTCCAGCCGAGCTGGGCTTGGCTTGAAATCGGCTCGTGGCGTGTTATATTAAATTTCAAGCCATTCGTTTTAAAATCGAATCGAGCTCGATTTAACTCAAAATCAAAGTGAGCTGGCTGAAATTTGAGTTATTTGGATCCATTCCAGCTTGAAATCGGCTCGATCCAACTCAAAATTAAAACAAGACAGCTCAAACTGAGTTATTTGGATTTGTTTCAGCTCAAAATCGGCTCGTAGCTCGTTATATTTGATTTTTTTAGAAATATATATAATTCTTATGAATAAAAAAATAATTTGAGCTGACCTTGAGTCTGTTCATGCTGATTCGTGTATGTCTTGAAATTGGCTCATAAAAAGTTCAAACCAAAGTTTGGACTCATAGCTCAGTTCGTTTCTTTTGACCTGAGGTATAATTCGAATAAATTTTTTAACGATTAACGATCTTTGAGCTAAAGTCATAACCCTAGTCTTGTCATGACAAAGCCTCAGCTAGAGTGTGGTTTGAAATATGGTGGATGCCATACTAACTTTGTTTCTTCACCATGATGCAAGGCGTATAGCTTTCATGGCGCATACCATTTTATACTTGTTATGTTTTTCTGATTTTGAGAGCTTTTTTACAGTACTGCTTTACTGTCTACTTTACATTTGACATTTTCTTTTGTTGCATTTCGAAAGGAATGAAAATCATAATTCTTAAGCTTTAATATATCAATATGCTTGTCATATTATTTTTTTTTAACACAACAAGAACAACTACTACTAGCCTTTATCCCACTAAGTGGGGGCAGCTACATGAATCCTTTTTCTCTATTGTATTTTATTGAGTGTCATATTTTCATTTAATTCTAATAACTTAAAGATCATTTTTTATACAAAGCATGCCCAAATCTTTTTAGGTCCATGTCTACATTTCTTAACATGAGTCAAATCTAGAGCATCTACTCCCCTAAATGGGTCATCAGATGATCGATGTTTAATTTGACCAAACCTTCTCAGGCGGCATTCTCTAATCTTGTCTGTCATTTGAGCTATTCCAACCCTTTCACAGTTATATTCATTTCCTTTTTGTCCAAGTGTAAAGCTACTTAACCACCCAAGCATTCTCATCTCAAAAATACTTAACTTAATATTATGCTTCTCTTTTACAGGCCAACATTCTGCGACATAAAATATTGCAGGTCTTGCCACCTTTTTATAAAATTTTTCTTTACTATAAGCTGTACTTCTCTATTACACAATGGCTCGATGCATTCCCCCTTTTACTATAAGCTGTACTTCTCTATTACACAATGGCCAGATGCATTCCCCCTTTTCAACCATCCAACTTGAATTCTCCTAATAACATCTCCATCTGTCACCATCACTTTGAACAATTGACTCGAGATATCTAAAATGTTCACTTCTTTTAGTGACTTGATCATCCATTGTTACAATCCCTCCACTAGATTTATCGCTATTAAATTATATTCCATGTATTTAGTTGTAGATCGACTCAAATGAAAGCTTTTAAACTCTAATGTTGACTTCCATAAATCAAGTTTTTCCTGAATTCTCTCTTCTCTTATCCACAAGAAGGATATCATCAGCGGAAAACATACACCAATATACATCCTCCTATTAATGTCCAGTAAGAACATCCATAACTCAAACAAAAAGAGACGGACTTAAAGTCAATCCCTGATGTAATCCAACTAAATTTGGAAAATACTTGATCAATACTTGATCAATCCTCCTTGATCAATCCTCCTTGTGTTTGAACACAAGTAACAACTCTAATATACATATCTTTATTGACTTGAATATAAGAAATATCAACATCGTTCTTTTCTAAAACTCTCCAAAGCATTTCTCTTAGAACCTTATCATAAGTTTTTTCTAAATAAACAAAAATCATATGTTGATCCTCTTTGCTTTCTCTATACTTCTCCATCAAACCTCTCAATAAATGTATAGCTTTCATAGTAGACTTGCTTAACATGAATCCAAATTAATTTAGAGAAATTTTTATATCCCGTTGTAACGTATTTTTAATTGCTCTCTCCCATAACTTTAATGTAAGACACATTTACGTAATTCATCTGTAGTTCACACACTCTTATGCATCCCTCTATTCTGGAACCAATAGACCCTTTCTCTACTCTGTACAAATCCTTTTAGTTTTTAAACTAATATTCAAAAATTTAATGAATCAAGAAATTCTCATATCTCTTAAACTTTTTCATACTTTTATTGAAATACCATCAGACTCTACTACTTTTTCACAGTTTATTTTATTTAAAGTCTCCTCAACATCCGTTTTACTGATGTGATAGTAGATTAAAAAGTTTGTTATTATTTACGATATTAAGATCACTAAAGTTGATCATATTTTCATAATTTTTATTGAATGTTTTAGGTTCTTTATAAAATATCATGTAAAGTGACTGAATTTTTTGTGTCATGTTATATTTAAGTGGCATACATGGTGGGCAACATTAGATTTGTGTAGAATAGGTTTAAGTTGACACCTAATTGTTAGGATATGGCCAATGATGATAATGATGACGATGATTGATCCGTCTTATGTTCTTCTTTGTTGTTTTGTATCATTTTTAGTGTTAATTTTGCCTTATATTGTAATTGATATACCTTCAATTATGCATATGATTTATAATTTTAAAAATGCAATGCTTCTTTTCCTGCGTGCTATAAGTGAAAGGGTACTTGATGGTGGTGAGTGAATTTCTTTATTGCGTACCATTTGCTTTAAAAAAATATTAATGTTGGTGGGTGAATTTCTTTTGTTCCTTTCCATGTGTGCACCAAAAGCTAAAATTTTTCACTCTAAAATTTGGAGTAATAGACCTTAGTTATTTAGTCATTGGATTAATTAAGTAAATTGAAGCTACATAAGAAATAAAGGAGGGCAGACCCGCCTATTGGAGTCAGAATGACTTACTTCAGAAGAAATTGACAAATTAAGTAATTTTTTCAATTCCTTAAAAAATGATCAGGATTTTGTTCTCTTGCTCATAGTTTTATGTTTTTCATTTTTATGCTTTTAATGTCTCTAATAGTCTTCTCCTTCATGGATCCCAAATTTAGCTACCACTGACCATATAACAAACATTACTAATATATTTTAAACTTACAAATTTTGTCCTAGCATTAAAAAAATGAAAACCACATATGGATCTTTAAAAACTGTTGTAGGATAGGGAGACATCTTAATTTTTCCCAATTTAACTCACAGTAACATATTACATGTCCTAAATTTTGCAGTTATCCTTTTATCTATTCACAAATTTACAATGAACACAACAACAAAATCATATTATTTATTGATTTTTTATTAGTTTTTAGGATCTCACTATGAGGAAGATGATCCGACAAGCTAGAGAAAACGATGAGTTATATATACTTGAATATCAACGTCAAATATCATAGTCCTTCACTTCTCATATTACTGACAACACTTGAACCAGTCATTATAGATTATGATATAATTAAAAAAAAAATTAGTGAATGTTTCTTTCATTTTTCATAAACACAAATGTTAAAAATTTTCGTCGTGAAGCTTGCGAAATTGTTAAACATCATTGTGTTTTCTATTCTAAAAGTACTCTAGTTCTAGTCATTTTGTATTAATTCATTCTGATATTTGTGGATCCTCTAAAATGCTCTATATTTATGAAATCACTAGTTTTATTATGTTTATTGATGTCTGCATTCAAATGATGAGCATATTTAATTAAATAGAAATCTGATGTTAGCCCTATAATCTCTATTTTCATGGTTATGATAAAAATTCAATTTAACTGTAAAAATTAAAATTTTTTAAACTAATAATGATTGTGCTTATTTTAATCATATATTAACATCATTATTTCAAATAAAATGTATTATTCACCAATCTTCCAGCGTTGGCATTCATTAATAAAGTATAATAGTAGCAAGAAAAAATCATCACAGTTTAGAGGTAACTAGGATATTTCTTTTGCAAAATCAAATGCCGAAATAATATTGAGGAAATATTGTTCTAACAACTACCATTTAATTAATAAAATACCCTTAAGAGTAATTGAATCCAAAAGTCTAATAAATTATTGTATAGAATTTTTCTTGCGAACAACTTCTTAAAAATCCCTCCAAAAATTTTGAATGCATTGTTTATTTATATCCATAAAATTATAAGAGGAAAATTTGTCCAAAGAGTTCTTAAATGCATATTCAATGAATATTCTGCACATAAAAATGGTGCACGTGCTATTATCCACTCACAAAAAATGACATTGGGGAGAAGTTGTTCTAGGATATTTCTCCTGCAAAATCAAATACCAAAATAATATTGGTGAGAAGTTGTTCTTACAACTCCCTATTTAATTTAATAAAATGCCCTCAAGCGTAGTTGACTAGAAGTCTAGTAAATTATTTGATAGAATTTTTTCCTATGAACTTCTTCTCGAAGATCTCTCAAAAAGATTTTGGATGCATTGCTTATTTATATCCATAGATAACATAGATGAAAATTTGACCAAACAGTTCTCAAATGCATATTCATTAGATATTTTGCCACACAAAAGCGATGCAAGTGTTGTCTTCCACTTACAAAAAAATTTCTTCATTTCAATGGACGTCACTTTTGATGAAACCTATAGCTTTACTCAAACCCATTTTCAAGGGGAGAATTCTCATTTTGATAATAAATTTGATGATATATTTCTTCTTGACATTCCTGTAATAGAGAATCCCACAAATACAAAGCTTGTATAAATTATCCTCCTTTAGGTCTATACAAGAAGGAATACACCAAACCAAGATCTCCAGCAAGTTCAAGACTCGAAATTGTTATCAGGTCACACTACTTAGCCCACTACCACTCATTTATATCTCAACTCTAAATACATCTCATAAAGCATTTCTAACCAATATCACCAATTATATTTTCATTCCACAAATTTTGTGTGAGGCACTTGTAAATAAAAACCAGAAAAAAGTTAAGACAGAAGAGACAAATACCTTAAAAAATTCATATATGGGAGATCACTGAATTACCCGAAGGAAAGAAGACAATATGATGCAAATAATTTTTTTACGTTGAATACAATGCCAAGAAAATATAAAGAAAATTTTGTAGCAAAAGGATATACTCAACAATATGGGATTAATTATCAAGAAAAATTTTATCCTATTGCTAAAATAAGTATTATTTGCATTATGATATCCTAGCAATAAATTATGGGTGGCCTATACAACAATATGATTTAAAAGATGCTTTCTTACATAGTGATGTTGAAAAAGAGGTCTTTATTGATTCACTATCATGATTTGATAGTTTAAAAGAATCAAGTATGCAGATTGAAAAAGGCCCTATATGGGCTAAAGCAATCACCGAAAACTTGGTTTGACATATTTGCAAAGGTTGTGAAAGGAGTCATCAAACACTCTCCCGACATTAAAATCTCAATCTTTATTGTATATGTTGACGATTTGACTGTCCCCGTAGATGACAATTGAGAGAAAGTAACTCTAAGAAAAAGGTTTGCTAGGGAATTTGAAATTAAAGAGTTAGAACAACTCAAATACTTTATTAGAATATGTGGCTCAATCTAAACAATTGACATCTCTTTCTCATCAGAAATATGTTATGGATATGCTGAAAAAGACAAATATGACATAGTGCAAGCCATGTGAAACTCTGACTGAAATAAGACAATTGGACATTAATGAAGAAGGTTAATGGGAAAATTAATTTTCTTTTCTCACACGCGTCATTATATTGTATTTGGAGCATATCTTGTTAGTTTATTCATGCACAAACCCGAAGAGTCACATATTCTTAGGAAGAAATCACACAACTTGGAGAAGCAAGAAATAACTTTTGGTTTCAAGGTCAAGTGTTGAAGCCGAGTAGAGCCATTGTGCAAGGAATGTGAGCTTCTATAGGTTAAAATTATATTAAATGATTTAAATATTAAGTAGAAAGACCTTATGAAGATATATTGTGATAACAAATCTATCATCAATATTGCACATAATCCTATACAACTTGATCAAACCAAGTATGTTGAGGTTGATAGAAACTTTATAAAAGAGAAATTGAAAACAAGTCTGATTTGTATTTCATATATGTTGGCAGGAGATCAACTGGCTATCATATTCACCAAATGAATCTACAACTAAAGTTTTAAAATATCATAAGCAAGCTTGAAATGGTAAATCTCTACCGTCCAGTTTGGGGGGAGTGTTGAATTTATACTCCAATCATTGTAAAGAATTGAAGACACACGAATCAAAGTTTTATATTGTTGGATTTTTTTTCTTTTGACTCTCACATATCAAAGAACTTAATACACACGGATTAAAGCTCTATATCATTGGATCTGTCTCTTTACAACCCTCAATTTGTAATCCACATGCTTTCCTATAGAATTGCCAATTCCTAATTATTATCCCTCTTTTATTATTTATTCCTATTATGTAATGCCTCTTGGAGTTATATATATACCTCCCCTTTTGTACAATGATGTGGATGAGATACTTGCGAGATTTTTCCCATTACTTATTTTCTCCTTTTTTTTGTCCTGTTATTTTCGCTATTTTTTCCTGAATTGCATATTTGATTTTTATCGGAAATCATAGATGTAATTGCGACTAAAAAGATTTATATTGATTCATCTTTGGTAGTGATTCCCTCAATAATCAGGCTTTTTTTATAAGTTGATAGCTATGTTTACTGAGTGTACCCACTGTACACCATATTATAAAATTATTTGCCAACATTTCTTCCATGTGCTGGGACTTTTGAGGAAGTTGCACTAAAGATCTTGCCTAATTCTTATAGTAAAAAGTAGTAATTTATTAAATGTTTGCTTTTATATTCTTAACAATTTTTTTATTGTAGTTTGCTTTTCAGTAACTTGATTTACCTGAATGTTTTTGCGCCCTTAATTTTGATTGCATTGTAATTCTGCAATTATGTCTCTCTGATGATTTTCCCGACCAAATTGTAAAACTACGAGCCTGACTTAACCTCTGTGGCAGTGAAATGCCTGGATGTTGGTCGGTGCATAATCTACATGCCTAGAATAGATTTATGGGCTATTGAGGTTGCAGACCGGAGCGCAAGTGAGAGACAAGTCAATTCTGAGAGAAGTCAGTCCATAACAGAAAATCTTACCACCAGGAGGGAAGTTACTTCTGAATTATGGAACTCATTGGTTGAGCAGGTAGATTCTGCCGTTACTGCTGCATCATTAACTATCCTGGTAAGCTTGAGATTCTTATAGAGGGTACCGGTTGTAAATTTTTTTTGTTATTTTTGGCCTGCTCTTTAACATGCTTGCTTAGCAATTATTAGTTTTCAAAATTTTCAGCACATTTCACTTTCAGCAAAAGTAAATGTTTTGAATAATGATTTACATTGTTTCCATAAATCTTTTCCCATTTTTGAAATATACAGGTTTTATTTTTTTGAATGCTGTTCATGTTTTTATGTTATTTTTTTTTATTTTTTATTTTTTTTGTTATGATGCTTCTTAATCTTCCAGTGGATGATTTGCTGCTGCTTTATATAATTAGATATATTTATGTCTAGTTTGTGTTTAACCAGAAAATCAGGGAATCTCATTTAATGACTGCACTGCGAAATTAAGGTTGCTTGTTCTGTTTTCCATATTGAATACAGTGTTTTTTGTCAACAGAAATTTCCCTCTTTGATTCTTTCTAATGTGGTATTCAGGTTTTATGATTTTTGCCTGTGAGATATGGTGTTGCTTTGCTCAATATTATTTAGCCTCTGCATGCTTTGACTACCAGTAACTGCATCTTTATGGAAATTTTATTCTTCCACTAATTGAGTTTTATTCCTTCCATGTTATATGTTTCTTTATACATTTTTTGACCTCTGATTCTGCAGTTCTTCTTGTTGGGAAATTAACTTATTTGGTTATGTTAAGTGATATTCTCCATATTGTGGTGGTGCTTTTATGATCGGTGCATTTGTTTTGCATGATGGGACCATGAACTATTTATTATTTTTATTGAAATGGCCTGTTTGATTGTAAAATTGAAATTTTCCTTTGGTTGGCAGTGCTTTAATGGTTCCTACATTTGTTTTTCATGTTGCATGGAACCATAAAAGAAATGTTATTTTAATTCGTTTAGAATAATTAACAATTATTTTTCACATGTATGTGCTCTTGATGTTTGTTTTCTTGTCATGTGCAATGATTTTTACATGGATCATTAATATATATTTCCATTTTGTTCCTATTTTCGGTAATAATTCCTGCCTGTACATCCGGACCTATTTCAACTAATTTCAGTGGTGGTGTTTGTCTGCCTGTTATAAATTCCAATTGAGCTCATCTTTTGTGATAATGAAAAATTTCCTTTTTTGGTGTTGATTAGCAATCCAGTATCTAGTTTTGGCCTTTATAACCTTAATGCACGTCTCATCAATATTGCACTAAATGGTCTCGTTCTTCTGCTCCGCAGGCTACTTGTGAAGCGGAAATGACTGTCCTTCCGATCGGTTTAATGCGTTTTTTTTCACGGAATGTACGCGGTTACGCCGTTTCCACTCTAAAAGATTGCACAATACCAAGATTTTTTCTCCACATTGATGGAAAGCTCAATCTTGAGCGGGTAATCAATTCGGCTGCGGAAAAACTATCATATGATCTTATCCAGCATTATGTTACACTATTGCATGAAAGAACTCATATGAGACATTCTGGAAATATACATGAGGGCTCTCATGCAAACATTAATTTGGAAGCTAATAAACAATGTTCTCACCATGCGGTTGTCACTCAAGAAGTAGAAGTTCAAAAAGCAAATGCTAGAAATACTGCTGTTTCATGCAACAGGTCATTGGAGTCGGAACAAATTGCTTCAAATAGTGGAGCTTCTTGCATACATGACCAAACTTTTCAACGACCAAACGGTATGGAAAACCCGCTTGTTTGCGCTCCGCCTTATGGTTTGCAAGATTCATTTCCAAAAATCAGTAAAGGTTTGAAGGGAAATGTACTTTTAGCAGTTGTAATGTTTGGTTATCAGATTCTTAGGTATCCACAATATGCTGAGCTTGTTTGGGTGACATCAAAATTGAAAGGAGGTCCTTGCGCCGATGTAAGTGGGCCATGGAAGCGTTGGCCTTTTAATACTTGTGAGGTTCATTCAGAGTGCTGGCCTGAAAAGAGGGTCTCCGGAATGAACCCTTGTAATAATGTTAACGATACGGAGCCTCCTGGTGTTGTTAGAGGCTTAATTGCTGTGGGTTTATTGGCATATCGAGGCTTTTATACATCGGTGAGCGAAGTATCTGCTGATGTTAGGAAGGTATTAGAGCTATTGGTTGGACAAATACGTGAGAAGTTGGGTAACAGAAAAGACAGATATCCCTATTTCAGAGTTTTGTCACAAGTGGCTTACCTAGATGACATGGTGAACAGCTGGGCATACATGCTTCAGAGGTGTTTTTTTAGAACAATATCCAATCTGAATTTACTTTTCATTTTCTCTATTAAAGGAAGCCATAAAAAATGCTAGAGCTACTGCAATTTACTTGTGTTCATTTTTTTTAGAGAAATTTACACACATACCACTCAATTTTTATGTATTTACATATCCAACTCCTGAAGTTTGATATTTACTTATAATATTTTGGTGTCATAAACTTATGCATAAAAAAGTGTATTTCCATTTTGAAAAGTTATTAATCTTGTTATTCTGGATTTAATGTGGTGGTATTTTGATATGATGTTAAAGATTTGAGTGCTATGGATGCAAGCATAGAAGTTTAGATGTTAGATATGTAAATACATAAGAATTTTGTGTTATGTTTGCAAATGCCCCCTTTTTTATGCCTATCCTTGTGAATCATTTAACTGGCTTTTTTTTTATTTTTTTATTTTTTAGTGGTCTGCTATGTTTCTACTATTTGATCTTCTCTCAAATTTCTCTGGACACTCTTATTATGAACTTTGGTAAAAACTAGCATATGTATTTCGATATTATTTTCTTTGTTTTCTTCTTATTATTGTTTATTGCTTCGGCAGTTTACATGCAGATAATAACACAGCAGATGTAAACTCCAAAACATTGGGTGCTAAGAAGTTGCAAGCAGATAATGCCAATACTGGGGGCGCCGGCAGTGCTAATGACCAATCGAGCATACGACTCCTTGACAAAAGCTGCAACATGGCTTCAGATATTTCTTCTCAAGGATTTGTTGCTCATAATGGTGAAATTTCAGTCATTTGTAAAGAGCTTGGTGATTGTATGTCAACTAAATCAGATACTGATATCATATTAGATGTTCTGAATAACTTCAGTCAACCTTCCTTGGCTTCTGAAGAACTGACTGATGGTCTTAAACCTTCTGGATTAGTGTGTTCTGCAGTAGGCGACAGATCGAACACTGCGGACCAAATTCCTGATTTAGCAGCAGCTAAAAATGATCACACCTCGAAGGCTAATGGGTGCGATCATGGCTGTCAAATGTTGCTCACCAAGTCTTTTGAAAGTGGAACTAGCAGAAGATGCAATATGGGGAGCATTCCTAATGAGTTGGGTGATGCTCCCTGCTCTCCTTTCCAAGAGAATGAAAATATTTCCATGGCTGCATGCCTGTACGGCTGCTGCTCAAATTGTGTGAACACGATAAATGTGATGGCTCGTAAAATGATCTCCGTTTTCTTGAAATCAAATGGATGTAGCTCCGTGGATGACGTCCACGACGTTATAACATCTCGTTCTCTAAATATTTTGTCATCGTTTAGGAAATATTTCATTTCTGAAAGTAGTTCCAATTTGGAAGAAATTTGTAGAAGGAGACTACATTGTCAAACCAAAGAAGATTGCAATGATAGTTTTGAGAGATTGACATGCCATTGTAAAGCTTTAGAGAAGATAGAACTTTTACCAGTAGAGTGCGGCAGCCATACGAGGATGGAGGACGATACCGCATCAGCAAATTCTGGTAACTGTTCTTCATCTCACTCTAAATTAACATATTTCTTCAGAGATGGTGTACTTGTACCTTTGGTACCTAACAATGATCCTGAGCTCCATTGTAATTATGAGAAGATGTGTGTTTGCTCAGTTGTAATGATATTACGGACAATTAAACAAACATTTGATTGATGACATGCAGATCCAATGTTCCTTTTAGTTTAAAGAAAATTAATTTTATATTATGTGGTAATTTTCACTTTCTGATGCTCAATGATTTTGAAGCTGTTAGTGCCATGTTTGGATCTGTGCATGATTTTCAATGAGGAAAATCAATCAATGGGTTTTGGAATTTACTTGTTTGTGTCATGTATCCTTATCAATTATTTTCTTATTTCTAAGTCGTATTTCAGAGGAAACTATTATAGAGAAAGTAATGTAATGATAGTTGGTTTGGCACAATGATGTTAAAGATGCATGATGTTTTATAATTATGACCTTGATAGGGACCATACATAGATTGGACTGCAGGAAGATTATTTGTATTTTTTAGTGCTTTTTGGATGCATGCTCTTAGAGGATGATGTAGAATTCGAAGTCTACAATGGTCCTTTTGGTTGACATGAAGGTCATAGACTTCATAAACTCTCTGTTGCGAGATGCAGCTGGTGCTATTTTTTTGGGCATTTATGATAGGGACCATACATAGATTGGACTGCAGGAAGACTTCATAAACTCTCTGTTGCGAGATGCAGCTGTTGCTAGTTTTTTGGGCATTTATATATATCCATACCACCCAATTCCTATGTATTTACAAATCTTACATCTACAACTTACCTTTTATGTTTATACACCCAAATCTTTCATGCCTCCTAAAAAATATCACTATTTTAACTTTTTAAAAAGCTGTTTGTCTTCAGCAGTTAAATAATCCTTTAGATTTGATGGAAAGCACCGCATTGGATCCATGGCTTGTTGGTTAAGCAAGTTGACCGTTGGCTTGGCATGAGATGGTTGCATGGGATTCCTGGTGGCCGAGTTTGTGGCATGAAGAATATCTTTTGGTTGTGAAATATTTAATTTAGAAGGGGAATTTACATGCGTACCACACAGTTCGTGTGTATTTACATATATAACATCTAAACATACATATTTACATGCATATGACTACTATACATCACAATATTAGATATGTATGTGCATAAGAATTGTGGGATATGTAGGCAAATTTTCTAATAAAAAGAAAACGGTTGGTGAAGCCACTGGATGTATGCAAGCCTGAGACAAGATTTGTGATGTCGAGTGAATGTTGGGCTTCTCATATTATTTTGGGAAATTTACATGCCACACAATTCCTGAAGGTTGATAGTTACATTTATAACATTTTAGTGTCATAAATCTATACATGAAAATGTGCTATTTATTTTGTAAATTAGAGATTAAAAAGGCAATAAAAAAGAAATTTAGTTGTGATATTTTTATGTCATAATAAGGATTTGAGTGTTATGCATATAAATATAAAATTTTGGGTATTATGGCATCTAAATACATCAAAATTGTGTGGTATGTAAATGCCCCTATCATATGTAGGAGTCACAATTTTTGTTATGGTTGCATACAAAAAAATATGTTAGCATGAATCTCAATGCAATCAAACCGCTAAAAGGAGAGACTATAGGTGAAAGGCGAGCGACCGATGGAGAGCACGATCGATCGATCGAAGATCACAATGAAGATAGAAGATCTGATGACCAATGGAGGTTGAGTGGTCGTCTATCAAACCCTGGTCTATCAACCGACCGCCTATTAAAACTTGGTCTATCGATCGACCTTCAAAGACAGGATGTTCGTCTTATAACAATCTTGAAAGACCCAAACATTTCAAGCTATGACGATTGGTTGAACCAGACGAATAGTGGCCCTGATCATATACCGTCGGGGCAGTCTGGAATGAACGATCGACAAACTTCGCATCAGAAGACCACTAGTCATATTTTTTTTTAGTATTTGTAGTTTACTAAAAGAACCTCTCAAAAGCTAATGATAAAGGGGTAGACTTGTAATTTCAAAAGACAATGGCCGTGTATCTATGAATAAGGAGTTCTCATAATAAAAAGGTAAAGCGCTTTTACTGTTATGTATTGTTTTCTTCTCACTCTTCTATTACGTTCCATTCATTGGGTGCGTCTTCAAGACACTTTTGGATTCAATATCCCATAAGGTACAGTGAGCGTGGAGACATGTCATCAACAAAAAGTGGAGAATAGCATCAACAAAAAGGTGAAACCAGTTAGAAGAACATGGTAGAAGTTGGATTCACTAGAGAATTTGTGGATGAATTCATCCAGCAAGGTTCGTAAGACCTGAGAACTTAGATTACCAGCCAGATGTTAGGACAATTCACGAAGTGCTCAGAGTGATTGCAGCATTAGGAGCAACCATAATTCCAGGAGGAGAGTAGGCTTAGCATGAAGCACAAAACGCCCCTCAAGGGGAACCACCAGCAAATAATGGAGGATAGATAAACCAGCTGTAGGAGAGTCGAAGATGTTTTATATCAATATAGCGTCAGATCCACCTCTGTGGTAGAAAAGCATCGCGTTATGAAAACCATCCCTGTAATAACTCAACCCATCACTAGGATGATGAGAGGAGACAATTGAAGGCTCAAAATCAACAATCAATCCAATACCACAAATAACCCCGTTATGACCATGCAGTCCCTCAGTTCATTCCTTTGAGGGTGTCAATGACAGCGACAGAAGATGCCATCCAGAAGGAGTTTTTCAAGAAGGCACCACTAATGAGAACTGGGGCTTTTCTCTGTGATAACAGGAAATACTATAAGTACCACAGGGCTCACGACCATGACATGGAGGAATGCAGGCACCTTCAGAGCTTGATCGAAGAGTTGATAAAAGAAGGAAAGCTGAAGGAATTCGTCGCCCCTGGAGTCGCGACTCAGAGACAAGGCAAAGCCCCAATGTGGGAAACACCCGACAAAGCAATCCACACCAACGCCATCCACATCCAGCATTTGTGCCCTCCATATTTATATGAACAGAACCACTTAGATGAGCAAACCGAAAGAGGCAACTAGCTAGGGATCTCTGTGTCACGACCTTCACTCCAAAACCGCAAGGTCATACACCTATCTACGTCATTGACGTGTATCTACCACCGAAGGGAAACCCCCACTACAATTCTATTTGTAATAATAGATACGATAAATAACTATCAAGTGGTTAGCATTCTCATTGATACAGGGAGCTCTCTGAACGTATTGTTAAATAGGTTTTCAACAAGTTAAGTCTTACGACCACCGAATAACTGCATCAGTTGGACCACTGTATGATTTCTTAGGAGAGAGGAAAACGTAATTAGAATGATCGGGCTCCCAGTTAGTTGGGAAGAAAATGAGAAAAAAATTATGTTAACAGAGGACTTCTTCATGGTGGATTCACCCCCAACGTATAATATCATATTCAATCGGTCGCTCATGAACAAATTCAAGGCGGTGGTCTCTACTTATCACATTGTAGTCAAATTTCCTAGGGATGGAGAAGTCATCACAGTAAGAGGAAATCTATAGAAGTCCCAAGTCTATAACTTACAGGCCTTAAGTAATGTAGAGCATGACCCCCTGGACATGCAGAGCTCAAGAGGAGGTGGCCTCAAAACCAATGAGACCACTTTCAAAGTTTCAGCCGTTGAGGGGGAGTAGGTAAATATTTTCTTATTAGTGAAGCTTTTGATGCATGGTACACAAAATTGCTGATCTTGACAACCAAAAAAATGCATAGTTTGATGATCGACGTAACTTGCCATCGGTTGAACGTGAATCCGCCGACCTGGCCTATGAAGCAAAAAATCAGGAGCTTGGCTACGACGTTGATAGGACATATGTGGGAGGAGGTGCAAAAGTTGAAGGGCGCGGGGTACATTTGGGAGGTATAGTATCCCACATGAATCTCCAACATCATGATGGTGCAAAAGGCTAATGGAAAATGGAGGATGTGTCTAGATTTTATCAATTTGAATGCAAACTGCCATAAGGGTGCATACCCATTACAGAGGACCGATGCTCTGGTGGATTCGGTGTTAGACTACTCATTTCTTGGCATTGTCAACCTTTTCTCTAGTTATCTCGGTGTTAGACTACTCATTTCTTGGCATTGTCAACATTTTCTATAGTTATCATCAAATCAAGGTGCATCCCGCTAATGCAAAAAAAAAAAAAAACTTATTTTATTACTTGTGAAAGACTCTATTGCTATAATGTAATACCCATTGGGTTTAAGAACATCAGGACAACTCACCAATGACTCATGGATGTAATATTTGCTAATAAAAGGAAAAGAAAATTGGGATGTAAATTGATGATGCGTTAGTTAAGAGTCAGTCTGCAACACAACATATTTAGGACCAAAGAAAAACTTTTCATACACTTAAAAAATTTAACATGATGTGAATCCATTGAAAAGCACCTTCGGAGCCTAGACGGGTAAATTCTTGGGAGATTTACTAACCTTCGAGGGCATAAAAGCTAACCCAAGAAAATACAAGCACTCATTAACATGCCACCCCCCATAAATACCAAAGTAACACAAAAACTGATAAACTGAATAGCAGGGTTAAGCAGATTAATCTTCAAATCAGGAGACAAGTATGCCCCCTTATTTAAAGTACTTAGAAAGGCCAATTGTTTGGGACTCCCGAATGCAAGGAAGCAACCTCAAGCAATCCTCTTCTGCATAGTCCAAAGCCCAAGTAAAGACTCTCCCTTTATTTGGGGTCGTTCTAGAGGCTATCAGTTTAGTCCTCATAAGAGAAGAACTCAAAAAATAATATCTAGTATACTACAACAATTGAGTCCTCAGGGACGTCGAACTCAGGTATCCAATACTGGAAAAATTAACTTTTACCTTGATAATTTCGTCATGCAGGCTCTCACTATACCTCTAAATACACCCAGATATAAAAATTCTAACCACTAAGTACATCTTTTATGGACAATTATTGCCTTTGTAGCATACGACTACTACATATATGATCAACTAAGGTTGTTACAGCTTCCAATTACGACATTTGTGGCCAACTGTTGTTATTACAACCACTTACTACAATCTTTATGGCTAACCACTATCATTGTAGCAATCAATTATGGTATTTGTGGCCAACTACAATTGTTAAAACTTCCAAATATGACCTATGGGGCCAACTGTTGCTATTACAACCACCAACTGCAATCTTTATAATCAACTACTGCATTTGTAAC